TCGTTCTTTGACACTTGATCACTTGATAGCAAATCACCGCTTTTTTCCATCCATTGTCGTCGCTTCTCAATTTTTTTCACACTTGGAAGGGAGAAAAAACGATAATTATCCCTAGAAGATGCTTTGCAATTTATAATTGCACACGATTTAATCATTTTACATGAATCAACTCGCACAGACTGTTCAGATCTATTGGAGTACGTTTTGGAGCAGACATAAACAAACAACATTCGCGAGATATTTTCGCGCGAAAAATAAATATTGTTCAACATTGGTCAAAAATGCATTTTCATTTTTTTTTTAATGCTATTATATTGAGCAGTGATTTCACTCTCAATCTTGGTAATTATTTTCAGTAAAAAAAGAATGAATTCACCTATTATAAGATAAAAATCACCCCATTAATGAAGGAGTGAGCGGGCCATTGACTATTAAAGAAATAGTACTTGAAAAACTAAGAATATATTTGCATTTCTTTATTTTTCTTCGCATTGTACATGTAATTTCATACGGGGCTAATTATTTTGACTTAAAATATCAATTTCATAACGTTCCCTCCAGCAAAAAAAGTGCCAGTGTTGGGCGACTAAAGGAGTTGAGGGGAAGCGTAAGTCGACCGGAATACCGCTTCTGGCGCTCCGGCGAACTTGTCCCCTGTTTTCTGGCTTCATCATACCTGCTTGTATCATACCTGCTTGTATCATACCTTAAGCCGTCATATTCGACCGTGGCGCCATCCCTCCATTGAGGTGATACTATTTTTGGTTTGGGGTCGCCCGAACCCCGAGATCTGACCCTCTACTTTAGTCTATCCTCTTTGAATTACCATTTCTGTTTCTGATATATTTGTAAATTATGGCGTCTGACCATGAATTGACGACAAGCCCCTTCATGGTGATACTAGAAGAAGAATTAGCTGAGACAATGTCCAGTGACAGCGATATCTTCCAAAAGGACCAGATGAATTCGCTTTATAAGGAGGGGGATGAATTGTTAATTGAATTAGTTCGATCTTATCGTCATCTGTGGGATAAAAAACATCCGGACAAGGAGCCAGAACTGGTGGAGAGTTCGTGGATGGAGATAGCTGAGAGCATGTTGCTAAGTGGTAATTGTTATTTACTTTTTTCAAGATTTGATGAATTTGTGATTTCGTGAATTGGCGATTTGGGGGAGTATCTATTTATGGAACTCTGTGGAATTCTGGAAAAAAACTTTTGAGGTTAGGATAATGCTGAGTATTGTTGAAAAAGATAGAAATTGTGTGGACACAGTTTCTAGTTGATTTATAATTTTCAGAAAAGTGACTTTGAGTTTAGTTTAGGGGGACAAATTCACGAAATTTTGAAATTTCACTGAGAACTCAATGAAATCGAAGATTTTTGAGCAGCAGGATGACGAGAATTCCTCAACTCACGTGAAATTTTAATAAAACCAGAACAGGGCGCGCGCTTCGCGCGCGTATTGTTTTCCTTGGGTGCCAGAATAGTAAAACCTTACCGTTTCTCACTCATTAATTTTTATCTCAATAATAATAATGCAGAAAAAATGAATGGTTTCAACAAGGTTTTTCAGAATGAGAATTTAATTGTTGAATAATTTCGGAATCATTAGAATCCTCTTCATCTTCTTCCTTTCTCTTTTGCTTTTTACATTCTTTATTAATTTTTCGGGGTATATTATGTGCTGTATACATATATACTATCGTATATATCCATTTTTTCACAGAACTATCAATTTTTTTACAGTTAAAAAAATTACAGTATAAATCACATATGTATAATATTTCTGCTATATATTATATTTTATATATTATATTATATAATATTATAGAATATATAAATTATAATATATATACTATACATGTATGCATGTTTTTCTAGTACAGAACAGTATTTCATGTTTTCAATTGTTAAATAAATTACAGTACATAAAAAAATATACATAGACATAATATTACATTACTTGATAAGCGGAATAGAGGCTTCAGAAATCGTTACACTGGATTTTTTTAAAGTGGATTATGACTATTCAGTAACAGATTACGTGGAATTGAGAATCAATTGAAAATTCCAGATTATATTTACTTGAATTTTCTTGATTTAAAGAAATTTTTGTGGAATAATTGAATGAACTTCACATTGAATCACTTCCATTGATTTTCCCTTCAAATTGTGAATTTTCAGTTCTGATATTCTTTGACATTTTAGCGAAACTGTCATTCGATAAAATTTGCCAAGAAGTGTACTCGAAAGTGCAATTAATAAATTGTTAATATTTGAATTTTATGGAAACTTGAAGAAAAATTTATGAAATTTAAAATCTGATTGAATATTTAATGTAAATGTAAATTTTCAAACAGCAGGAATACAAACATTCGCTAATTTCAATAAAATTATGAATATTGAGTATCAAATTACGTTAAATTTTCCATTAATTGAACATTCTAGAATACATTTATCTCAATTTTCCTGATTTATATCAATTTTTCCGGACTAATTTAAATGAAATTCACAGTTTCGATTGAGTCTCCATCAAATTATGGATTTTCAATGATGAAATTCTTTGAAATTTCAGTGAAAGTCACTTGATAAAAATAGTGAAGAAGTGTACTGGAAATGGCAGCCAAAAATTCTTAACAGTGAGCGAATTATTTTCCAGTATCTGAATGCAAAAACCGATGGATAAGGTTGAAACAGTATTACTCGAAGGAGAGACACAAACGGGATGAGGAGGCGAAGAGTGGCAGAGGAAGAGGATCAAGAAAAAGTTGGGCACTTTTTGAATGCATGACTTTCATGGATAAACACATATTAAAGAGAAGGTATGACTCCATTCTCAATTCATTTATTAAAGACTCCAAGTCTGCAGTTCAACTGAAATTTATTTATCCTTGGACGACAATGTTTTGTGGCTCCACTAAATTTTTATTCGAAGTATAAGGATTGTATAATTTCAAATAAAAATAAGTACTATTGGTGTTTATAAATGTAGAGTAAATCGTTACATATTCACTGAAATGATTGAAAATCTGGTAATTTATCTAGTTTTTTTTATATCGTCTTCATTTTCTTTTTAAATTTCTTTTTTCTTTTTTTGAATAATATATAATTTTTTTATACAGTATATTAAAGATATATTAAATATATTAAAACATTAGATTTTTTATTAAGGTCCGGGTGTACTATCTTTCGAAAGTTATCTCGATGTTTTTTTTTTTCATCTTTCGCCATCTAAAATTGTTAATTAAGTCCTGCATCATGGAGAAGTTTTGAAAAATTATGAATGAATCAAAAAAAAGTAGAAAAAATTCTTAATTTGTTCAAAGAGCATTTTAAATTTATGTTCAGAATAAATTGAATAACAAGAAATTCAAAAATGTATCTGATTTACGGTGACAAATGGCGGCCTGTCACCCAATATCATACAGGGGGAACACTGATTTCGTAAATCTTTTCCCACACTGCACAGAGACATTTATTACGCAAAAGGCTCTTTAAAAAAAGTTGTAATNGATGACTACATACCACTGTTTTGAAAATTGAGATACCTAGCTGTCACTTCCCATGAGGAGTTAGTGTTTTGTTATCCACCATGGAAAATGACAGCTAATAGATAATTTGCCACAGCGAATCAGATATTTGTAATTTCCACTTTTTTCAACTCATTCTGAATCTCAATTAAAACGCTCTTTGAAAAAGTTCAGAATCTTCTCCATTTTTTTAATCATTCTATCATAATTTTTGGGAATTTCTACATGATGTACCACTCAATTGACAATTTTGGATTACGAAAGATAAAAAAAATCCAGATAACATTCGAAAGATAGTACACCCGGGCTTTAAAGGAATTTTTACCTTGTAAAAATTCTCCCTCTCCCTCTTTGTATCAACCCTGGGGTTGTCGGGGAAAAAAAGTGGAATTGGCATATCCCTGAAATTATTGTGGTTTCAATTACTAATTGGAAACTTTTCAGAACTTATTCGGGTGCGCGGAGGAGTCAAATAGAAGCTTCATTCGACAGTGAGGAAAATGAGACAGTCAGGCAAAATGTGAGTTCATAATAATTATTATTTTATTCTTTTATTTATTTTTGTGGGAAGAACCACCAGACAGCCAGTCAATAAGTCTCAAAAATTATTAATACCCAAAGAAACGATTTATTTGGAATATTAGTTGATTAAAAATTTCATTTTTATCAACTATCAATCATGTGATTATCTAAGTAACGATGGATTTCGCAGCAAAATGATATATAACATTTTTGTAGGGAATTGAATTCTCTACGAAAAATGTTTTTTGACATTTTTCTCTAAACCCAGTTATTATTGAGATAATTGAACAATTAGCAAGTGGCCAAATGACTCAACTGAGAATTTCAACTTCAATCATTGTTCTCTCCAATTTTTGCTAATAAATTAGCAATATGCTTTCAAATGGTTATTTTGCACATCATTTCCTTCTATCATGTATAATTCATTGTTTATTCCATTTTATTAAACTGAATAAGATTTCTTTTTAACTAATTTCGTCAGATTTTCAACTTAGTTGAATGTTATCATCATCATTATTCTAATTTACCCTTTCTTCTGTACAACCGATTGTCTTTTTTACGGTTCTGTCTCTCCCCTCAGCCCTTCGATAAAACGTTAATAGAACAACTTTATTTACACATACTTGAATCAATTTGAAGCATCATATTTGAAGAAACCACCAGAAAGCTCACTTCCAGGGAAATTCATGAAAAATTCTAAATTTTCAACAATCATCACAAAAATCAAATTAACCAATATAGCTATCGTAATCATCTTTTAACTTGGACTTAATGGCATTAAAACAAACATTTTAAGCTATGATTGAATTCATTTAAAGCATGATATTCAAAGATATCCCCGGAATTCTGATTTTCAAAAAACAAAATTTTTTGCAAATTTTCAAATAAATCAAAATAACGATTATTGCTATCGCCTTCATCTTCGAACTCGGTCAAAAGGACATCCAAACAAATTTTTTAAGGCATCATTCAATCAATTCAGAACATTTTTTTAGTTATCGTGGAACAAACGATTTTCCAAGAAATTTGAAAATTTAAAAAACTAAGTGATGAATTGAATTTTAATTAATGGCGATTGATAGGGCTCGACAATATTTGCATTTGAAAAAAAAGATTCAATTCCATCCATTCATTACTTTGGGTGAATATAACCCAAAAAATCTACAACTTAAGGATATCCAAGTACTTTGGCTATTTTTTCTCCAGGGAAATGCTTTTCTACTTTTGTAATCGAGCCTCACAGCTTTCATTTGAGCCCCATTTGACCCTAAGTTTCCGGACATTTTACAAAGATTTTATTATTTAAACTTTGCAGGTCTGAATTTGAATCTTGTTATTGAACTGTTAGAAAACATTATGCATTTTTATTTATTTATTTTATTCACAAAGTCAAACAGCCGAAGCCAATAACATGACTCAATTTGAACAATCGATAACGTTAATCTAGGTTTATCTGTACAGTGGCAGATGTAGTTAGGTAAATATGTACATTATGTATAAGTGTTAATTTGTTTTGATAACTGAACATATATCGCTGGTGAAATGAAAGTAAATTGTATTCGTAAATTAGTAGAAGTGCTTTACAGTGTCAATTGCTTGTTTGATAATTAGATCCATAGAATCATTGAATATATCGAGATTCGGGTGACGACTGGATAATAAGTTTAAAGCAATGCTAGCCTGGTGGATAGGTGAGGATAGGGCCAAATTATTTTTCACCCTAGGGAAATAAATAATTGGACTCGAGCGAGTGTTCGATCTCGAGAATTTAAACCTCAAATGCCCGAGTAATTCAGGGCAGTCTATTTTGCTACGGAGTACCTTCACCAAGAAGAAGATTATAAAAATCTGAAGAAAATTTAGAAAGTTTACTTTTGGAGGAAGATTGATGAAATAATTAAAAAGTTGCAATTTTTGAAAATTATGAGCCTTTTCTATAAATAATTTATAAACAATCAATTTTCTACAATAAACATCATTTGTTCAGAATCGTAACAAATTTATTCATATTGAGAATATTACCACAAATCGATTTCATGCCTAAAAAAGGTTTCCGAAAGTTTAAACAATTTTAATTGTTTATTTATAAACAACGAATGTTTAAAAAATAATTCTGTGCAAAACGAAATTTGAATAACACTGAATATTCATGATTTCTTCCAAATTTTTCTCACGCAATTTGATTGACAAATTTGATGATTGAAAATAGTTGAATCTATAGTGTGGTCTGTACCAAACTGTAAAAGATACTTGGATATCCTTAAATTTGAACGATGACAAATCGTTACTTAATCATTCTATCGAAGGAATTAATTTTCCAGAAACGCCCTGCACTTGTGGCCTCGTCAGACGACCCCCTGGGTGAGTCCGTTGTCTTTCCAAGAAAGTCTCAGCGCCTGGTGGCGGCCGAAAACGGCGAGAAGGAAGCAGACGAAGACTCTAGTGAATTGTTACACGACTTAACGACAGAGTCTCTGTCTCCCTCGAGGCCATCATCAGCTGCGCAAGTGGAGATCAGAACAGAAACAGCGGAGACAACGTGCAACGCAGGAAAGAGGCCAGCACCGAAGGTGCTGGCAGAAACCTCCAGATCATCTCCATCAGCATCACCAACAAAACCATCTCGTCTGCAGGAGATGGGACCCACGAACATTGCAGACTCCCTCGTGGAGTCCTTTCGTCAGGCAACAGAATGCATCTCTGTCGTCGCTCATAAACTAATCCAGAGTGATCCGAGTGATCAGGATCAAGCCCTCGTGAACATGATTTTAGCACTGCTGAAGGACTCCGATGGCCCGAGGAGGGTTGAGTTCAGAAGACAACTGATGAGTCTGACGATGGAGTACATGTTCCCCGAGACGTGAAGGATGAGGAGTTGGAGATGTTTGATGAATGTTTCTCATTTATTCAGTCCAAATGGGTTTTGGAGGATTTATTCATTGTAAAAATGGAATGAAATGTCGAGACCCTTTGAGGCTCGGGGTTTGGGGGTTTGTAGAGTACGTTCCTCAAGTCAAATAGGCCGCAATAATCTCACGGTGTAAATTAATATGAGGGCACCACCCTACGGTACCTCAGGCAACTCAAGAATTTGGAAAAGAGAAGGGGAAATCAAGGATCGCTGATTCCGGGAGACATCCAAAACGCTCTTCTTCCTGGGACGACGGTAGGGTGACCAGGCCAATTGCTGGACGGGTAAAGGAAATTCGAGTTTCGTGGTGGGATCTAAAATAAAAGAATGACCTAAACGGGGACATGATGGCTTCCATATCAAGAATGTTTTAATTAGCGGAAAAAAATAAAGTGAAAATAACAAAATAAAGAATAATTAAAGTGATAAATAGTTGTGTAAAGATCAACTCAATTAAGTCTCAAAGGGAAAAGGGGCGATTTATTATTCTTTCCACTCCATCATCCAATCATGGATAGATAAAACAAATCACGCTCACACCCATAACAACAACCCATGGTAATCATTCGAACTTCATTCCTCTCATTCTCATTCAAGGGGAGGGGAAGTGGATAATTTGATTAATTCTATCGCAGCAGTTGAATGTAGTCGAAACCCCCAATTTCTGGACGGCTGGGACATATTTTTATTTATTTATTAAATGTTGATCAATAGAAGAAAATAATTGATCACGTGATTATACACAAGTGATATTATGGAGAGGTGACGGAGACATCGGCTGTGAAGACTATTCTGACTAACTCTTGTTCTCATAACTTTTTCAGTCTCAACATTTGGTGCAACTCATTTAATTTCAGCATATATAGATATTGTTCTCTATTGTTTTATTTTGTTTTAATAAATATTATCATCATCAGTAACCAACACCAAGTCTTCTCAGAAAAAATGTGAACGTTATGTACAGAAAATGAGATTTATGTACCAAAGGAAATAAAAATTATTATGGAGAGGTGAAATAATCAACACAATTTTCATGTTATTTGTGAAATATTCAATGCAAGTTGAAATCGTCCAGGAACTAACCCCCGTCCAGAAATTGACCTATTCACCCTACCAAGCACACTGGGACAGAGTCCCAGGACCCCAATAAAAAAAAACTGGACGGTTGTCGGCTGGGAAAGGGGATCTACGGATGTTCCAGCGGTTTTTATCTCATGACAAAGATGAGTATATGATCATTTATATTATGGTGCCATCAGTCGTATCGTCGAGTCAAGGCCAGGGTAGAAGATAATCCACAAATCAACTTCATTTGAGGTTTGCCCGATCAATCGATAATAATTTATGTGGTGTCGTGAGAGAGATTCATCCTTTTATGGTTGCGCATGTGATTATTTTATATAATTCGGGGAAACGATTGACCTGTGAATTTTGTCTGATAATTGACACATTATGTGGAATGTGCGAGAGAATATGCGGGTAAATTATAAATGTCGGTATCTGGGTAGTAAAACTGTGTTATTTCTGGAGAATTAGACTTATTATTAAAGAACATCGTTTCTGAGTGTACTAAATATAGAGAAGGCTATGTGAGCTGCCAGAATCGCAGTGATAAAATATATTGATGATTGCCCATCAAATAACAGAATTATTACAGGTTGGAAAATTTGTTGAATTTGAGGAAGAGTGGGCTTACGAAATATTTGTTTGTATTTCGTTGGTGTTATTGGTGGGAGGTGGGGCTACGATTACTTGAGGAAGGGAAAAAAATTACTAATTCGAAATTACTCACGACATTCCAGTCTTCAGCTCCGATATTTACAGCTGAAAATGAGTCGAGTATGGTTGAACAGTGTTATTATTGATTACTATCATAAATGAAGCGAAATAGAAGGCTCTCCCATTTTGCCTCGTAAGGGTCAAAAGTTGCAAGGGTCATACCTTGCATGGGTCAAACAACAGAGGCAGGCAGGCCAATCTCAAGGGTCAAACGACCACAGGGGTCAACCAGGAGAGGCAAACAGGTCCAATGATCATAAAGTTCAACCAGGAGAAGCAGGCAGGAAAATCACAAGAGTCAAACGATCATATATCGAGCGAAAGATATCAGAAATCTCTCCCGTGTGACCCGTGTCCTCTTTGCCTCAAGTTTGCCCCGTTGCCCCAAGTTGACCCTTGAGATTGTCCTGCCTGTACTCTGTTGTTTGACCCTTGCGAGGTATGACTCTTGATGTTGGACCCTTGTGAGCACTGATAGTTACGTCAAGGGGTTTTAGACCTTTTATTTACCTTTTTACCATCCACAGCTAAATTACCAATATTCTACTATATTCTACTCGTATTTTTGTAGAGAAAAAAAAGACTTACGATTAATATGATTGATTATTCCTGTAAATTATTTGCAATAAATTATTTATGAACTGATTTATATTGCCAAGATTTTTCATCGTTCCTAATCAATTGAGTAATCTTTAAACCCGGAAAGATGCATTACATTCATCTGCTAACGAATTACAAGTGAGTTACCATCGTCATTTGTTTATAGGTAATAGTTTCCGGCTGACAATCTATTGCTTTAGTTCGATTCATTTTGTAATTCCGTTTAAAATGAGAATAATCCCGCCATCTTTCAACGTACCGTTGCACTAGAAAATTCGATTGGTAAGGCTTAATATCCACCATTTTGTCGTGTATCTCGACACCATTTTGTGAGCACTAGTGTACGAGGGTCTCGTACAGTTTGTTGGAGGTTTTCTTAGGGTAGTAGACCTCAGAGTCGTACCCAAAGAGTTTTAGGCGTCGAGCACAGGTCAATACTGTACCCCGCCATCTTTTTTATCAATTGATCATCAATAATAACTCAACTAATTGTGTCTTTGTAGAAGGGAGTGGGGGCGAAAGGAAGCCCTTGAATACCAATTTATCAATATTCAACGTTTTATTCACCCCAATTCATATCAAATTACATATATTCCTTCCCCTGACAACCTTCACAACAAAACGACGAGTTCAGTTCCTGGATACTCTGGTAGCTCCAACCCATACTCCTCCTCCAGTCTCTTCGGCACAAACCTGCCCCCCAGATAATGAAACTTCCCCTTGAACTTCTTGGCGCATAATTTGGGAGCAGTCAGAGAAATCAGCATTTCAGGGCTGATCCCCTCATCCCCAGGAGGCCCAGCCTCCACGTCCCACCCTGAGGGTATGTCCACACTGCAGATGGGGCTCTTCGCTGTCCTCAGGTACTCGACGATGGGTACAAACTCCTCCCTCACCGGGGGTTTGAAACTGAACCCAAAGAGGGCATCGATGATCACTTTGAAGTCCTTCGAGTTCTTAATATCCGCCATTTTGTCGTGTATCTCGACGCCATTTTGTGAGCACTGGTGTAAGAGGCTCTCGTACAGTTTGTTGGAGGTTTTCTTGGGGTAGTAGACCTCGGGGTCGTATCCGAAGAGTTTTAGGTGTCGAGCGCAGACCAGACCGTCTCCCCCGTTGTTCCCAGGGCCGCAGCACACGAGGATGGGGTTAGGATTTTGTTTTGACGGAGGGTACGTTTTGGTTATGGCCAGCGCACAGGCCTGACCTGCCAGCTCCATCAGCTGGTCCACGCTGAAACGGTAGGACGTGAACAGGGCCTGGTCCACGTTTATTGCTTCCTTCTGGTTGAGGTATTTCACCATTTCCGAGACAGAGGTGGTGATCAACCGGCGGTTATTGAGGTTAGGATAACTTAGTGGGAAGGAGGGGGTGGAGAACGACTTGCAAATGGTTTTTATCATCGAATGATAGTGGAAACCATCGATTTTTAGAGATGAGAAATTACTTTTATTGCGAGTTTTTATTCATTTTTGGGAGATTCAGGGAGAAAAGAGAGAATTGTGTTGATGTTTTGATAGAAAAATTATCGCTGGGATTGCGATGAAGCCTTTAGAATGTTGATACTCTTGTAATGGCGGGAAATACCCGCAAATTTGAATTAAAAATTTACAAAAATTGATTTTTGAAGAAAAGGTACTTTTATCTTGTGTGTTGATTTATTTTAAGAGAATTTAGGTAGAAAAAAGAAACTTGTGTTGATGCTTTGATGGAAAAATTGTCGCTGGGATTGCGATGAAGCCTTTAGAATGTTAATACTCATGTAATGGCGGGAAATACCCGCAAATTTGAATTAAAAATTTAGAAAAATTGATTTTTGAAGAAAAGGTACTTTTATCTTGTGTGTTTATGTATTTTAAGAGAATTTAGGTAGAAAAAAGAAACTTGTGTTGATGCTTTGATGGAAAAATTGTCGCTGGGATTGCTATGAAGTCTTTAGAATGTTGATATTCGTGTAATGGCGGGAAGTACCCGCAAATTTGAATTAAACATTAAGTGAAATTTATTTTTCTCCTTTAGAAAATGAATGAATTTTTTTAATGAAACCAATAGTTTCTCTGGGATGTATACTTTTAAAAATCAGTAATAAAATGTTAAATTGCATTTTTCAAGACAAAAAAATTAATTTATTCAACTTGTCAACTGCACAGAATTGAACAAAACAAAAATTTATACACAATTAAAGATTTTTTAATGAAATCTCCAACGACGGTAATACATAGGCCATTGTCGTCACTCTACTCTCCTAAATCACTCTCTTTCGATTAAAAACTAGGTACATCCATTTGATACATTATAAACATCGCAAATCTACTCGTAATCTCCGCTAATTCAACGACAACGTTTTTTTAATATTCATCAATAGCTTTATCCATTAATTATGGTATTGCGAACAATAAGAAGGTAGCAGGCATACTTCCATTGACTTCAGAACTCCTTCCTATCATTTTTCAAATAAATTTTCGCATTCTTGATTCTTTCATAACCAAAAGAAAGAATATTTTCGTTCTCTTCCACTCGAAAAAATTTGTTCGTAGATTCTTTTGCGAATATCTCCCCAACGAGTGGGTTTAGAGGAAAATATCATTCCACATTTTTTGTGCAGATTTAAGTTTCCTACAAAAAATGTCTTCTGACATTTTTTGCTGAACCCAATCGTTCTCGAGATATTCGCAAAAAACTGTGATGAAGTAATCAAAAAATTGAAAATCAAGTTCTTAAACTCTTCTACAACTACTTAACGGTCCTCTAAGTATGGTAACTCCATCAATAATGCATTTATTTCACTTTTGATATGAGTGCTTTTGTCATTGAATAAATCATGAAGAACAGACAAGTGCTTTTACGGAATGTATTATCATTTAAACAGAGATAAAATCCAGATATTTCAAACGTCAATACAACAAGATTCAATGGAAGTAATTAATATTGTTATGGTTATAATTACTTCGAAGGCAAATGTTAATTTATTTGACTATTTTACGTCTTTGTTCGGTAATTTTCTACGCGTTTTTATTCATCTAGGTGATTGTAAAGCTACGAATCAGTGAGTTGAAGCATCTCGCACGCTAATACTGCATACGCACTCTTATTCTTTCTTCTTTAATCTGAATATGATTTTTATTATCAATCAATTTAATTATATTAGAATTTCTACTTTTTATTATTCATTTCTATCGATTTTGGGTTATCGCGGGAGCAAAATCGATATTTTATTTTTTTTTTTCAATAAATAACGAATACTTTTTACAATTTTTCTTGGTTATTCCTGATTTTGTGGCCCGAGTTAGCATTTTTGGAATTTTATCAGCAGCTTTTTGAGGAGTGGAGAAGAAAGGGGAAATTTTCAATGAAAAAAAATTAGAGACATCAAATTTCATTGATTTTTCATAAAAATATCAATAATTTGGCATCTAATGGAGCAAAATGGGTTGCTGAGAGGCATTCAGAGCAGGAAATTCCACTGGAATCCAAGTGATGATGTTTTTTTTTATTTTTCTAATAGATTTTGGATCATTTTATATTTCAGAATGGTTTCTAATTTTTTCGAGAGTGAAAATGAGTGCAGGATTGAATTTTTTTATCATTTGGGTGTTCAATTCTCGCAGGCACTTTATTTCCATGATCCTCAAATGAAGGACTATATTATTGTAAGAATTTTAAACCTCATTAGTACGTTTCAGTGAATTTCAGAGATTTTTTTCGTTCGGTTTAATGCTGAATTGACATATAATCGGTAATTCACAAGTAATTGATCAACTAATTTGTGGATCGAGGGATCCAGGCCTGCGTATTGCTTAACTCGGGAAAGTTAATTTTGTTTTCAGTCGATTTTTTATCTTTCAATTTGTTTTTTTTGGTTTTTGGTTTTTGGAGCTTAGACGTGGAGTTTGCTTAAGTCTGAGAGGAAAGACTTTGGTGTTATGATGTGAGAGGATCCTGAAAGTAAAAAAATATCATAATTATTGTCAATAATTTGAATTATGATTTTTTGTTTATTTTTTTATGCAAATTTTTTACTTGAAAAATCAATTTTCCATCCAACTTTTTCGTTTTTAATTCATTTATGGTCCAGAAATAATTAAAAATGCTCGAGAAAGTGGGGTAATTAGTGAAGACATCATAATTAATAAATAATTACGGTTAAAAATTTTTGATCAAAATTTTCACTCAAAAAATTAACTTTCCGTGACATTTTTCGTTTCAATTTTTTTATGATGAAAACAAAAACATTAGAAACATTCTAGAAAAATTAAAATTAAAGTGTCATTAAACTTTTTGTTTTCAACTTTTTATGATGAAAAAAAAATTAAAAAATGAATTTCGATCCAATTTTTTGTTTTTAACTATTTGAAAAGGAAAAAGTCACTAAAAATGTTTCAATGAGTTGAATTGAGTGATCAAATTAGTCAAAATATTATCAACAATTAATTACCCTGACAAATTTTAGTAATTATTTTAGTATTGAAAAAAATTGGAATTTTCAGTCAGAAAATTGAATTTTATCAGATTTTTCATTTCTAAATTTGTTTGTAATGAATAAAAATAGTGAAAAATATACTAGAAGGCTAGATTGGGCGATTAAATTAGTGAATAAGTGGGGAATAATTTTTTATCAACTTACCAACAATGACTTCCCAATTCTTAACAGCATTAGTGACTTCATAAGCACAACGTATCTCCGAGAAACACAATCCACCGACGATAAATACAATTAATCGTGGAACGTTCTTGATGGTGGCCTGACCCTTGTCCTTATGCCAGTGTCCGTATCTCACGCTGAAATTAATTAGTCATCAATCATCATTGAGTGAGCTGATGCCCCCAATTCTCAGTGAAATCGCCCTTTTGCTCCCGAACGGAAGCTTTGTAATCGTTCAAAATTAAGTTTCCAAATTTTTGTGTCAGGGTAACTAAATATGGTCTAAAAAGTCTAAATATGCGATTTTTAGATGGTGTCTGTATGCATATATGTATATATTCAAAATCTACTCGAGATTTGATGAGTTGGGTGGTCGGGAGAGGTGATTTTGGGGTGGGTGCACAAATAATAAAAGAGGTGAATTCGGATGATTTGCCATTTAATTCGCACAAAGATTTCACTTGAAACGTTAGTTTACAACAACGAATAAATAGATGTATTCCCCGAGTGGACTGTATTGACACAAAACAAATAGATAATTGTCCCGATAACTGTCACGGTAACTGTCCGAGATGAGGTTCGATGGTGTACTGACGATTGCGACACGGACGACCGCCTCGTCCGCGTCCGATGATTGCCGATAACTATCGATAATTGCCGAGGGGGATGAATGACCAATTTGACTGTATTTTGGCCAGATTTTAAACAGTATGTGTGTGTACTTTTTTTCAATTTTTTTGCGCAATTTTCTTTATAGTAGCTCGATGAAATTTCCTGAATTTTTCCATGAATATAGACGTTAATAGGCTCTACTCATCGACACCAATTAAAGTTGAATTATTCATAGAGTTTGTGAAATATTATCACAAACTATATTATATGATATTATAATATCATATGATATGATATGATATTATATGATATTATTATGATATTATATTATAATATTGTTTGTGGTATTTTTTCAAAAATCGATTTTTCGATGCTCAGTCCAAGAATTGTTAACAGAATGAAATGAATCATGGCTTAAAAAATTTGTATTGATAGCCTCTTGATTCTATCAGAATAGGATGCAGATCGCATCTATCACTGTTGAGCTACAGCATATAGTTTGTGAGATTTTTTTTTTCATTTTTTTCACGATAAAGTGGAAAAATTAATAGTCATATCAATGAAATCATGGCTCAAAAAGATTGTTTTGATGCTTTCTCGATGAAGTGCAAAGATGATGAAAACAGCATAACTATTTATTAAGTTGCATAGTAGCAATATGAAGCTTTAGGTCATATGGAGGTCATATGGGGGTCATATATGGGTTATATGGGGTCATATAAAAGTTGTACGGGGTCATATGGGGGTTATATGAGGTCATTTGGAAGTTATCTGAGGTCACATGGTGCCCTAATGGGCTCATATGGGATGATACAGAGTCATGTGGGGTTCATATGTGGCAATATGAGGGTCATATTGGAGTAATATGGTATTATATGGGGGTCATATGGGGGTCACTATTCAGAACAATAAAAAATAAGAGTAATAAATTTCAAAAATGAAGAATCCATTCGGAAGCATATTGCTAATTTGTTAACAACATAAACTATACCCATATACAGAAAATGCGATTATCCGCTTGTTCTTATTGTGATGAATTAAATTAAAAAATTTACGTAGTTGTGTATATTTCACATAGTTGTGATGAAAAGGATTAGTAAATTTCCTTCATGCGCATCGCCTTACCTAGTGGGAGCATGGGCATATCCAGAGCTCGCAGCCCTTCCAGCCAAGAATGGAAAATGCTTGGAGTCCAATTTCTCCTCAATGGCGTCCTCCATAATGTCTCTAATTACTGGAGTCCAGCGACTCATTTGATACGTCTGTTCTGTGATTCTCTCCTTGCGTGGAACTTGATAAGGCTTTCTTCCCTTTCCCTGAAGTTGAATGAATATTTTTCAATTATTTATGACATTTTTTTCATTGTTATAAAACCTTTTTGACGATTAAAATGATGTTTTGATTATTGAAAAACAAAATTTTTTGATGGAAATATTTTTTTGTGATGTGAATTGATGGATAAGACTTCCTTTCTCTCTGCGAAGGGAAATTTACATTTATCTATCATCAAAAGACAATTTGAAACATCGAAACTTGATTTTTATGAGCAAAAAATAATTCGTGATGGTTCAAATTGTTTTTTATTCACTGAAATGAGTTTGCTATCTTCGAAGTATTTTTTATAATTATTATAAATCTTTCTTCACGGTTGAAATGATTTTTTAATGATAAAAAAAAAATTGATGATGGAAATATTTATATCATTATAAATTCTCATTGACAATTAAAATAATCTTTTGATTACTAAAAAAAAAATTGTTCAAAAAATTTAATTACTTGAGAACTTTTCTTCAATCAGCAAGAGGCAATTAAAATCATTGAAACCTGATTTTTATCATTAAAAAATAATTGGTGAGAATTAAAATCGGTTTTTATTCGCTGAAATGAATTTCGAATGTTTGAAGTATTTTTTCTAATCCTTATAAATCCTTCTTGACGATTAAAATAGTTTTTAAATTATAAAAAGAAAAAATTGTTGGAAGAATTTAATTAAAAAATTTTCTTCAATCATCAAGAGACAATTAAAATCATCGAAACCTGATTTTTTTAATTAAAAAATGATTGGTGAGAGTTGAAATCGTTTTTTGATCTTGAAATGAATATGTCATCTTTAACAGAGTCGATTGAATAATTCTTTCAAAAATAAAATTTTTAAGGCTCGAGTGTACTATCTTTCGAATGTAATCTAGATTTTTTTTATGTTTCGTAATTCAAAATTGTCAATTGAGTGGTACATCATGTAGAAATTCCCAAAAATTATGATATAATGATATGATATTATGATATGATTATGAATAAAAAAAAAAATAGAAAAAATTCTGAACTTTTTCAAAGAGCTTTTTTAATTAAGATTCAGAATGAGTTGAAAAAAAATGGAAATTACAAATATCATATTCGCTGTGGCAAATTATCTATTAGCTGTCATTTTCCATGGTAACTCCTCATGGGAAGTGACAGCTAGGTATCTCAATTTTCAAAACAGTGGTATGTAGTCATCTGCCATTTTTATGTGATAAAAGTGTGATTAAAAAATTCTCCAAAATATTACAACTTTTTTCAAAGACCCTTTTCCGTAATAAATGTCTCTGTGCAGTGTGGAAAAAGATTTACGAAATCATTCTTCCCCCTGCATGATATTGGGTGACAGGCCGCCATTTGTCACCCCAAATCAGATACATTTTTGAATTTCTTGTTATTCAACTTATGCTGAATATAAATTAAAAATGCGCTTTGAAAAAATTGAGAATTTTTTTTGCTTTTTCTTGATTATTCATTCATAATTTTTCAAAACTTCTGCATGATGTAGGACTTAATTGACACATTCAGATGACGAAAGATGAAAAAAAAATCGAGATAACGTTCGAAAGATAGTGCACCCGGGTCATAATCGTAAAAATGTTTGCCCTTCTGGAGCGATTTTAAGTGTTGATCCAGTGAGAAACTTACATCGACATTAATTCCAAGATTAGCCATGTTGAGAATGGTCTGCTTGTCGTCTGGAGACACCTGTGCATGATGAACGAGGCGATTCAAGTTCTCCTCGGTTATTCCATTCTTAGAGAGTACGTAGAGGGATATTATACGAAGTTTATCGATATTGGCAACTGTCTGGTCCAGGAGGACTGGCGTTATGGTGCGCATGTGGTCCTTTATGCGCTCGCCCTCAGCATCTGTGCCCATTGCCAAGTCCTAGAACGATTTCGAACGTGTAACATCGATTTATTTGATGATTCAATTTTTGGGAAAATAACTACTGTCATCGCTTCCACGAGTTAAGATGAAAGTGTCAAGAGGAACTTTTTGGATATTTTTCACAGGAAAAAAAAATTTTTAGAAATTTTTGTACAATATCTTCATACATATTTTCCAGGAGTCATTAACAAAATAATCGTGTTATTAACATTAATTGAAAACTATCGAATTTGACTTGATTTTAAAAAAATTATATTTTCACTAGAAAAAATCATTGAAAATGTCTTGGAGAGTTCAAGAGAGTGATCTAATTGTTAAAAATGTAATAATATATTAATAATTATAAAAAATTTCAATAATGATTTTTTAATTTAAAAACAAATGAAATTTTCAACTAAAAAATACAATTCCCATAAAAAAAAAAATTATAATTATATTTTTTAATTATTATTGCATTATTGAAAATATAATAATGCATTAAAAATTATTCTTAAAATTTTCAATAATGATTTTTTAATTAAAAAAAAATGAAATTTCAACTAAAAAAATTCAAATCCCATAAAATTCTCATTTTTTTATGATTAAGGATATCCAAGTATCTTTTACAGTTTCTACTACACTATAGATTTAACCATTTTCAATCATCAAATTTGTCAATTAAAGTGCGTGAGAAAAATTTGAAAAAAAATCATGAATATTCAGCGTCATTCAAATAACATTTTGCCCTAACATTTTGTCCTGGAGAGTTCAATAGAGAGATCCAATCGTTAAAAATATAATAATGCATTGATAATTATTCTTAAAAATTTCAATAATGATTTTTGAATTAAAAAAAAATGAAATTTCAACTAAAAAAATACAAATCCTCTAAAATTCTCAATTTTTTATGATTAAGGATATCCAAGTATCTTTTACAGTTTCTACTATACTATAGATTTAACTATTTTCAATCATCAAATTTGTCAATTAAAAGTGCATGAGAAAAATTTGAAAAAAATCATGAATATTCAGCGTCATTCAAATAATATTTTGCCCTAACATTTTGTCCTGGAGAGTTCAATAGAGAGATCCAATCGTTAAAAATATAATAATGCATTGATAATTATTCTTAAAAATTTCAATAATGATTTTTAAATTAAAAAAAATGAAATTTCTACTAAAAAAAATAGAATTTCCATAAAATTCTCAATTTTTTATGATTAAGGATATCCAAGCATCTTTTACCGCTTGTACTACACTATAGATTCAACCATTTTCAATCATCAAATATGTCAATTAAATTGCGTGAGAAAAATTTGAAAATAAACACGAATATTCAGCGTCATTCAAATAACATTTTGCACAGAATTATTATTTTGAAATTGTTAACAAATCAATCAAGATATTATAATGAATGAATATTGACCCTGAAAATCATTACCTGCACGACAATTTTTTTAATTTCTAAAATATTATTCAGCATAAAGCCATGGAAACCAGATTACTTTTGATGCCTCACTAAACATGAAATTATGAGTTAATAATTAACAAAAATGTCAAGTTGATTTCACTAAAAAATTTAATTTAGCTAGTTGACGGCGTTTTGATGTTTCTGAATGAGAAAATTAAAATTTTTGTCTCGTGAATAGTAAAAAATATAATGGGATCAATGAGTTTTATTTTCAATGAGCGAAAAATTATTACCTGCTCGACTTTGCACAGTTTATCAACACTCCCTTGATAACGCTTCATGCAGTCCTCAGCAAGATGGAGATGTGTTGCATATTTGCTGAGCTCCTTCTGGTACTGGGGCATTTTCTTGATCATCTGGGAGAGATCTCTCATGCTCTGTTTGTCCCCCTGGGGCATTCGCTTGGAGTCAGTGAATTTTTTCAGATTCTTCGTCACTTTGCTGCAAACAAAACAAATTGTTTCATTCACTCTGCTCTGCAGGGTCATTGTCATTTCTACTCACTTAGAGACGACAGCAATGTGTTCGTGTCTCAATTCCAACCACAATTCGTCATTCTCGTCCAGCAGCACCTCCTTTTCTTGTCCCTGGGTTGCTTCATATCTGAAATAAAAAATAATTTCATCATTACCAGGTTTTCAAATCCAATTTTTCAATAAAAAATCGAATTGGGGGAATAAGTACGATGTCATTGAATCGACAGGGAATTTTTCGATAAAAAGCACAGAATATTAGCCCATTTTGATTAAAAAAGAAAATTTTGGAAGCAAAAACGTTTGTTTTTTCATGTTTAAGGTTTATAATCCGAGTTTCTTTAATCAAAATTCTGATGAACTGATGAAGTCGTCTTCATTCTCCCCTAATTGTTATTTGATAATTATTTAAAAGGCATTTAAGATGTGAAATAAAAAATTCTCTCATTATTTCAGCAGTTTTTTGATGGAATTTTTATGTAAAAAAATAAAAGAGTATAAACGTGGATATTCATTGAATAGACAGGTAATTTGTCGCTGCAAAACACTTGAAGTGACCCATTTTGGACCGCCACTTCAAGAGATGTGTAGAGAAGACGTATTTGAAGCAAAAAATTTTTTTTTTCAATTTTTAAAGTTTATAATAGGAGTTTTTTCATGAAAATCCTTGTGATTTCATGATGAAATTCTCTCCATCCTTGTTTAATTGATTTTTAATTATTTAAAAATCAATTAAACAAGGATGGAGAGAATTTGATACCGTTCAATTTTGATTGAACGGTTTGATATTTTTTTTTGATTTTTAATTATTTAAAAATCAATTAATGTCTGAAATTGTGAATTTTAAATTCACAAATTTAAATTTTTAAATATTACATAAATTATTACCTATACACATCATTTTCGATGTCAAGCAAATCATAAGCCATAGCCTGAAGCGTAAGCTCATGCAGAAGGGGTGAAACACAGTCGAAACCTCGATCGAGAATCAAAAGCTGTGATCGTGCTTTCTCAGGTCCCTCACCCATTGTTGGCTCGTCAGCCTTGTAGGCATCCAGCTTCTGTTGGACAATCTGTGCGAGCTCCACGTTTCGATCGAAATCACTGAAAAATTCAGATTGAAACACTTTACTGATTAATTCTGGGGCAATTGTGCGAGAATGTGGATTCCATGAATTTTATATTGCGAATATCTGAGGAACCAGTGGGTTTAGGGGAAAATGTGAAAAAATCTTTTTTGTAGCTGGTAAAATTCTCCAGAGAGATGATCTTATGACATTTTTTGGTGAGACCACTCAGTAACGAAATGATTAGAAGTTTAGAAAGTGATGAAATTTTGTTAAAAAAGAAACGAAAGAATTTTGATGACTTATTGATTCAAATTGACGAGTAATCAATTACCTTCGGTATCTCACTGATGGGTACTCCCCCAGGGTGGCACAGAGGGTGGCTATTTGCTCAGCAATTCTCTCCATATTTGCGTTACGCAGATTTATGAAGGAGGGGTTGTAGAAACATGCGAATGTCTCACGTGAGTCCAATGAGAAAACCTTTAAAAAATGCAATTGGATCAATGATTTTTATTTTTAAAGAGTAATAATATCGATGAAGAACAGAGAAGCGAGAATCAAGAGAGATGTACAAGCAGTGCAAAATAGTATTTAAAAATAAATAACAATTTTTCAAATTTCTAAAATATTAATTCAGCAAAAAAGCCATGGAAACCAGATTAATTTTTGATGCCTCACTAAACGGGAAATTATGAGTTAATTATTAACAAAAATGTCAAATTGATTTCCCTAAAAAATTTCATTTAGTTAGTTGATGATGTTTCGATGTTTCTGAATGAGAAAATTAACATTTTTGTCTCGTGAATAGTAAAAATACAGTTGGATCAATGAGTTTTATTTTTTAAGAGTAATAACATTGATTAAGAATCGAAAAGCGAGAATTAAGAGAGATGTACAAGCAGTGCAAAATAGTAGTTAAAAATAAATAACAATTTTTCAAATTTCTAAAATATTAATTCAGCAAAAAAGCTATGGAAACTAGATTAATTTTTGATGCCCCACTAAATATGAAATTATGAATTAATAATTAACAAAAACGTCAAATTGACTTCACCAAAAAGTTTAATTTAATTAGCTAATAGCGTTTTGCTGTTTTAAAATGAGAAAATTAACATTTTTGTCTCGTGAAATAGCAGAATGATTCAAACAACATGCACAAACACTAGAAAATGATCTCCAAGGGTCATTCATGACGTCTAAATGCCTCTAGATATTTTAAAAATGATTTATTTCATTCTCTCATCACCTGAGACTCATATGGGAGAAATGCAATGTTGATCTCTTTGAGTGTTTTAATCTTTCTAGCTCCTATTGACTTGCAGAGATCATTGAAGAGCTCCTCCGGGCACACTGGTTCGTGCGAGCATTGGATTTACATTTTTTATTTGTTAGTCGTGCGCAAGTGAAGACGATAAACACAATATGAAAGTTTAAGAAGTTTAAATTCTGCATTGAAGTCATGAGAACATCTTTATTCCTCTAATTATCTCGATAACGAGTGGATTTAGGGGGAAATGGCAGAAGACATTTTTTATAGGAAATTTTCTCAGCTACAAAAAATGTGGAGAGACATTTTCTCGTAAAATCACTCGTTCCTGAGATATTCTCGTTATTAATTCATTCGTAACAAAAAATTAAAAGTTTTTGATTAATTTCGATACAGAATTGTTAGTTTAATTAGTGAAACAAAAACAATTAGGGTTGAGTGTGAATTTTGTTAGTAAACAAGAACATGGGAGGATTGAAAAGTAGACAGCAGAGACAGATCCACTCGTCTTAACATCACAATGATTTTTTTTCTTTTGGTTGATTTTACCTGTTCCTCGTATGGGATAAACGCTATGTTGATTTCTTTGAGTGTTTTTATCTGTTTTGGACCCAGGGAGTTACACAAAGCATTGAATATGTCGGCGGGACAGGCTGAAAATAGGATTAACTGAACAAAATTGAAGATCAAAATAGTTAAAACACTTCAAAGAGAAGAAAATGAGAATTTAATTGGGCGAATTATTTGACGAAATCTTGGGGGCGTGAATAATCATCAATAATGGTATTGATGAATGAATTCTTGGATCCAATTAATTATGAAAAAACATGGGAAATTAATTTAATACTCAAATGATTGAATTTAATGAATATAAATTAGATTGAAATCAACGAATTCTATTATTTGACTTCATGATTCAATTATTCATTTATAATTACATTTAAAAAATTGTTTACGCCTGGGGAAATCGTCAAAGATGATGCAACACTTGAGAAATATAATTTTTTCAGGGGATAAGCCCTAGAAAACCTCGTCAAACAAAATAATAACAGAATTGAAACTTGAAGAATTTTCCAATCTATTAAATACAGAATTATCTCGATAACGAGTGGTTCCAGGAAAAAATGTCTTCAGTTCTTTTTTGTAAAGAATTAAATTTTCCACAAAAAATATTTCTGACATTTTCTTCTAGACCCTCTCGTTCTCGAGATATTAACGCAATTAATCAACATGGATAATATTGAAACCCTCAGATTTCATTACTAGGCTTCATATCTCAATTATGACATTGTAATTTAGTTTATAAAATTGAAAAAAATTGTTAACGCCTGGGGAAATCGTGAAAGATGATCGAACACTTGAGAAATAGAATTTTTTGTGGGGGTTTCTATTCAATAGAAAAAATGGCTTCGAACATTTTACCCTAAAAACCCTCGTCAACAAAATAATCACAGAATTGAAACTTGAAGAATTTTTCAATCTATTAATTACCGAATTATCTCGATAACGAGTGGTTCCGGGAAAAAATGTCTGTAATCCTTTTTTGTAGAGAATTAAATTTTCCATAGAAAATATTTCTGACATGTTCTTCTAGACTCTCTCGTTCTCGAGATATTAACGTAATTAATCAACAATGGATAACGCTGAAGTCATAAAATTTAATTACTTCACTTCAAGTTTCAATTATTCAATCATAATTGAATAAAAAAAATATTAACACCTGCGAAAATAATTGAAAATGATCAAACTCTTGAGAAACAAGATTGTCTTCACAAAATTGTGGGAAGAGAATTGTTTGAAGGAGATAAGAAAGATCTTGAACATTGGAAAATTTATTTTCTCTTTACCTTCAGTGAAATAAACATGTGCTGCTTTGTAAATTGTTCTCGTTGGATTACTGAAGTCATCAATGAGTTTTTGTACAGACGAATTGCACGGTGTGATGAGGTAAACGGCCTCCATCGTTGGCAATGGCTCACGTTTCTTATTTATGTCCTCAACTAGAGTTATTCCCTGGGCACTTATGTCATGCATTTTGCAGCACGCCGATACCATTCGCATTGCCAATTGATCCACCACGAGGATTCGCCACTCCACGGCGCCTGCTTTCGCTGTTTTTTTCTGTTTGATGACTTCATTCATAATTTCTGAGGGGGAACCACAAACATTAGGAATTGAAAACTCATTTTTTTTCAGTTGAAAAACATTAAATAGTCATGAAAATTGAAGTTTTCAATTGTCGTGAGTATTTATTGGATTCATTTTGGTGGGAAAAATTTTTCTTTAACTATTTTCATTGTTTTGGTTGATAATTAATTGGAGATTTGGCATTTTTTCATTAAAAATTAGAAATTAACTGTTGAAGTTCATTTACAAAATTGAAGTGTCGCCGTTTTTCTGTTCAATTGCTTCATTAATATTTTTTGAGGGGGGAAACATCGACAGTGAACATTGGAAGCCCAATTTTCCATTCGAAAAACATAAAAATAGGCATTAAAACTAAATTTTCAAATCATTATTAATATTTCTTTTACTTCGATTGTGAATGAGAGCCGAAACGTTGGCGATTTGTAATTAATCAAGAAATACACTGCATGATAAGCCGAAAAAAAATGAGAAAGTTATTAGTAATATCCATCGAAGACATTTTGATGAGAAAAGATTATCTCTAATTATTTTCATTCTTTTGCTTTGATAATTAATTATGAATTTTTCTTCATTGAAAAATGGAAACTAGATTAAAGTTATTCTCAATATTTTCGAGAAAGTTATTATTAATATCTATTGAAGACATTTTGATGACAAAAGCTTATTCCTAATTAATTTCATCTTTTTATTTTGATGACTCATTAAGAATGAGAATTTTTCTTCATTAAAAGATGTGAAATTAATCGTTAAAATTGATTAGAAAAATTGGCAATTGAATTTCATGTGAAAAATGGAGTTTTCTTTCAATTTTATATTTTCCTAGGGGTAATTATTAAGGCCCGGGTGTACTATCTTTTGAATGTTATCTGGATTTTTTTATCTTTCGTAATCCAAAATTGTCAATTGAGTGGTACATCATGTAGAAATTCCCAAAAATATGATAGAATGATAAAAAAAATATAAGAAATTCTGAACTTTTTCAAAGAGCGTTTTTAATTGCGAATCAGAATGAGTTGAAAAAAGTGGAAATTACAAATATCTAATTCGCTGTGGCAAATTATCTATTAGCTGTCATTTTCCATGGTAGATAATAAAACACTAACTCCTCATGCGAAGTGACAGCTAGGTATCTCAATTTTCAAAACAGTGGTATGTAGTCATCTGCCATTTTTATGTGATAAAAGTGTGATTAAAAAATTCTCCAAAATATTACAACTTTTTTCAAAGAGCCTTTTCCGTAATAAATGTCTCTGTGCAGTGTGGGAAAAGATTTATGAAATCAGTCTTCCCCCTGCATGATATTGGGTGACAGGCCGCCATTTGTCACCGTAAATCAGATACATTTTTCAATTTCTTGTTATTCAACTTATTCTGAATATAAATGAAAAATGCCCTTTGAAAAAATTAAGAATTTCTTCTACTTTTTTTTGATTATTCATTCATAATATTTCAAAACTTCTGCATGATGCAGGACTCAATTGACAATTTCAGATGACGAAAGATGAAAAAAAACAACGAGATAACGTTCGAAAGATAGTACACCCGGGCCTGAAGTTGAAAAATTATCCAGTACTTTTTTTCATTAAAAAATGGAAAATTGGTTTGAAAAATGAGGAGTTAATCGTGATATTCAAAACAATTGCATCTGTTTAAATAGAAAATTTTATTTTCTCATTTTTATTTTGAATTTTTGGAATTTTGCGGTGATTAATTCACGAAAGAAAATATCAGTTGGTCTCAAATCTTTGGCGCTTTCCCACTTATTGATCGGCCTTTTCATCCAATGACGTCACGACGGGACAGTCACGTATGCCTCAAAACAGCCCCCTTACCCTTCCGCCCTCAAGAGCATTAAAGAGCCTCTGCGTAATAAAAAAGGAAAAACCTCGCCAAACCGATTTCGTTAAAAATTGAATTTTATAAAAAATTCGTGATCAATCTCGTTTGAAATCCCGGGGTATCACTCCCACGTGGATGAGTCTAGGATCGACCCCCAGAATGTTCCCGCAAGGAGAAATGACCCCTTCCACCGTAAATTTCCTGAATTTCCTCAACATTTTTCAGTAAAAATTCAAAGGATGTCGTAAATTTCATCAAAAAAAATTAAAAATTCTTGAATAATAATTTCATCATCCCCAGGTATTTTCCAACACCCAAGGGTCGATAATGAAAGGATGAATAATTTTTTTAATGATTTCATGTAATAAAAAATCCAAGATTTCCTCATAAAAAATCAGAAAATTGCAAAAAAAATCCAAATAAATGTCTGAAAAAATTACTAAAACACTATTTCATCACCGTACAATATTTTACAACACCTAAAGGTCGATAATAACCCCAACAATTTTTTTTAATGGTTTCATGTGAAGAAATTGAAGATTTCCTCATAAAAAATCAGAAAATTGCAAAAAAAATCAAAATAACTGTCTAAAAAAAATTACTAAAACACTTTGTTCTCACCCCACATTATTTTCCAACACCCTGGGTAAATAATGACCCCTACAATAATTTTTTTTAATGATTTCATGCGAAGAAATTGAACATTTCCCCATAAAAAATCCGAAACTTGCAAAAAAATCAGGATAAATGTCTAAAAAAAATTCTAAAAAATTACTAAAACATTTTCATCACTCCACAATATTTTCAACCCCTCTGGGGTCGCTCCCGACCCCAAAAAAATTATCTTATCCATCAAAACCCCAAAACTTCTGAATTTCAAACTCAAAAAGCGGAAAAAACTCAAAAAATTCGCGAAAAACTCTCATTAATGAAAAAATTTACAAAAAAAATCCCAAACCCCCATATCACAATCCCACAATATTCCTTAACCCCCTAGGGTTCCAATCGACCCCCAAAAACCCGTCTCCCGCAAATCCCCTCAAATCCCGCGGAATTCCTCTCAAAACGTCAAATCCCCATCGAAAAACCCCTCCAAAAATTCAAAATAAACCGTCACATCCTCCCTATTAAGCCTTTCCCCTCGCCGGAAGTGCGTCCTCTCCGCCCCCCTCAACCCCCAACAATTAAGTCAATAATCGCAGGTCTCTTTAAAAATTCCTCGAAAATTGACATTTCCCTGATTACTGTGTGCGTTCAAGTGGTCGATGAGATCACCGTCCGCCCCCGATCCTCCGAAAAAAAATTCCCCGGCCCCTCCAGACCCCCCGGGCCCTGCCCCCACAAGCCCCGACGCCCGTCGAACCCCCAGAAATCGCAGGAAAAATTAAAAACGCTAATTATCCCACGAAAAACAACAAATAATTGTTCAACTCACTCTGACCGACTTGTGCTTTGAGCGCCATTTTGACAGTACTAAAGAGTAATACCCTTTCAAAATGGCAACCAGATGGCGTCGTAACCTCGTCCCAGATGCGCACGCACTCGCCGAAAGCAGTGGGGATGAGCGTCCGTTGCCCGGCCTCGCCTCGCCGATCGGAATTTTATTTTCAGCATTTCAGTTTGAGTGAAACACTCGACGCGTCGACACACGATCGTTATTCATTAATCGGCATTCACGACACTTGCCACTGACATTCACGTGTCCACGGGTGAACTCGATGAGTGATTTTCGGGGGGAAATGTGAGGGGGCAATTATTTTTCTCGTGAGTTAACTCAGTGATGTGGTTTTTTGTGCTGTGATACGACGAGTTTTTGAGGATAATTCGGGATTACTGGGGGAAAAGATGAAGCTGGAGTATCCGTGCAGGGTCGAGGGGTGGCTCAATGTCTGTGGTAAGTACCCAGTGGATAATGTGTCGTGAAATAACGGCGGGAGGTGATGTAAACGCGGATTTTAATCGAGTTGAGACCTTTGGCTGGCGAATTTTTGGGCTGCACTTCGCGAAAGGTCCGTTATCCCCGGAACCACTGGCGATAGACAGGTGGAAATGATTTCACTCGAAAGCTGGGGACATTTCCGATTCAGAACTCTGGTCTCGAACCCGTTTTGCCCCGGGGGTTGGCTGGATATCGACGGAGCAGAGTTCGCGCTCCGAAATCGTTTTTGGGGGCTTTTTCAAAGAGGCCTGGGCCAAAATGGGTTCATGACCAGGGGATTTCGTTGCATTTTTTCCGAGCTTTCTAATGACGGCTTTTAAATGGCTCTGGGTGTCTCCGTTCCCGAGATATTCGCGAAATTGTGGACGGGGAAATTATGTCTCTTTGTTTGTTCGTGGGCTATCGTGAGATTTCCTCTCGGTTTTAAAATTCTTGGGGTTTTTTTTGTGGAGAACGAGTTAAAAAGGGAGAGTACGATGCGTCGACACGTGCTTGAGCTTTCGACCTGAATTCAAACGTTGTTTACACAGTTCGGGTCGAGAATACATCGAACACTTGTACGTTTACGTTTCAGTTGAGGTTTTACTCATTTACATTTTTTTCTTCAAGTTTTTATTTTTCGTTGGTGCCGAGGATAAAGTGAGAAAACTAGACAGTATTTTATCAGGGGAGAATGGGAAAGTGCTTTGCAGTGCACTGTTGCACTGCGGGTCGATTGATTATTGCGACTTTATGATCGATCGGGCGTCGAACTCGGGTTATGTATTCGTGAATAATAATTTCGATGGATAATGACGGAATTGTTATCGCTGTTTTTTTTTTCATCTCACGATTTTCGTGGTTTGGTAATTGTGCCTGGGAGATGGGAACATGAAAGTTGTTGAGAATATTGTGAATCGCCGGGGAAATTGACGGTTCAGAACACTCGTTACGAACCCATTTCGCCCCGGTATTTTTTGAGTAATAATGAAAAATCATTTTTGACGTCTGAATTTGTTTTTTGAATTGTGAAAGAAAGACTGGGCCAAAACGGCTTCATGACCTGTGTTTTTAAACGGAAATGTCATTCAAATTTCATTCCTGACCCCAAAATTTTGAATTTATTATTTTTTACGCAGCATATTATATTAATTTGGTAATAAAAAAAAAGAATGAAGGGGATGGGGTCGAAAATGACCCCATTGGATAGTCGGGGGAATGACAGGTCCGAAACACTGGTCATGAGCCCATTTTGCCCCGATATTCTTTAAATAACAACAAAAATTGATTTTAAAAATCTCAATTTGCTTTTTAAATTGTAAGAGGAGGGTTGGGGCAAAACGGATTTATGACCAGTGCTTTGAAACGGAAATTTGCCGGACCATTTAGTGGGGTCATTTTTTACCCCAAAACTTTGAATATAATTTTTTTTTATAAAATAAATTACGTTAATTTTGATGATTAAAACGAAAATAAAAGGGGAGGGGTAAAAAATTACTCCCTTGAGTAGCCAAGAAAATTCCCGAAACAAATCACTGATCGCGAACCCGTTTTACCCCGCAACTAGTCAAACGGCAGCAAAAAAATTGTTTTTTAATGAAAAATTGTTTTTCGAATTTCTCAAGAAATAATGAGGCAAAATGGGTTCGTGACCAGCTTTTTGAACCGGAAATTTCCCCGACTACTCGATGAAATTGATCACCCCTCTCCCCCTCAAAATCTTCATTATCTAAACCGGCATTATCTCAATATATCGAAGATGAATTATCCCGTGCACGTGTGCCCCCCCACTCACTCCTCCATTCTTGTCTGGAAAAAAAAATTATGGAGTAAGGTAATGGTCATGGATGTAATGGTAATGTAATTGTAAAAGGCAGAGGAGGCAGATGATAATAAATCGATGAATAAATCATGAGTGCGAGTGCTTGGGCGTCTCTGAAGGGAAAAAAGATGAAAATGAATTAGAAAAAAAATGTGAACCTTGGCCTTTTACCATATCAAATCCAAATGAAACGGAGGAATTATCGACGTGTGGGTGGAGATATTTTCCTCCTTGTCTTTCGATTTGTCTCTGGATATTTGTTTTGCGGGGGTAAATGGCTCATTTGGAGTTGACTCGCGCTCGCCGCCGAGACACGCTCTACTCGTCTCTCGGTTTGCGTATCCCAAATACTCGCTCCTACTCGTCAGATATTTTTACACCCGACGACTTCTCTGCTCCACTTTGTAACAGACTCAATGCTTTTTCGTTAACGGAAATTTATTTCAGTAGCGAAGTGGTAAAATGGTTTAAGTCGACTTATCTCTTAGTTGAATTTTTGAGGAATATCTGCTAATCTAAACGAGATGATGGAATTTTTGTAATAGGAGAGGGTGTGCCTGTACCACCCATCTAAGGGGAAATGCCATTTTTATATTTTATATTTCAACTTGAGTATAAAAAACGTATTTGCGAGACCTCTTTAACTATTGAACTCGTTATTCTCGAAGTGTAGATGCCTAATTCTCCTTAGAATCCACAGAATTGATTGAAAATAAAAGAGAGACCCTATTGAGCGGTACTACCCGCCGTCGGGTAATACCGCTCGGCACGATTCCAATGCCGCTCATAGGGTTTTGCGTGTATCGCTCGCGCCGCAACCTAACCTGTACTCGAGTACTGTCGAGCAACTACGTGGCCGATCCTATGAGCGGTATTACCGACTCCGCTCGGCGTCAACAAAATTGTTAATAATTATTGACATGAGTGGAGTTTTGAGTTCGAATTGGTTTCAAATTACACGCGAAAGTACCACGAATGGAAAAACCACAGTTTAATACGAGAATTCAGCATTTGAAACTATCAAAAACCTTAATTACAAGTCCACAAATTTTGCACTGTAAAGACCTCAAAACTTCGTTAGGTGTTTTTTCATATTTAAAGTGGTAAATAAAGTGAAATTTTTCCGACAATCACATCAAATTCTTCATGATCAGGAACAGAAAGAAATTTTGAAGTTGATGGTTGTGGAGAAAATCGGGTGAGCGGTATTACCCGCTGAGCGGTACAGGCACACCCTCCCCTAACCTTGTTAAAAACGCGACTAAAATTCCAGAACATTCAACTCGAGCACCATCGGGAACCTTCGGTTGAGCGGTCAGACGATCTTGAAAACCTTAAAATTTAGTCTTACATCGCACCTCACCGAGTACAGTATAGCATTTTGAACCTCACCTAGCTCACTAGTAACCAAGTACATCACCAGTCTTTGTAAGATCAACGTTTCGTTCAGTACATCACCACAATGATTAGTTAAACTTCAACTAAATTCAGTGATTCAACAGTATTAAATTCAGAGACAATAATCAGTGAAATAAGACTATCAACAGTGACAATTATACCAAAGAGTGTAAATAGTTAATTAAGGACGTGGTTCGATCCCACGAATAAACGGGAATTTTTATAATTCGTCTCAACGTTAATTTTCCAGCACTTCCCTCCCCATTTTCTCCCACATCCACCCTAAACCTAGTTCCTCACCGAACAAACCTTTTTTCTTGAGTAAATTGAGTGCTACAAAAAAGGTCTTGATAAAAATTTAGCTATCTTTCTTAGATTCCGAGATATTTAGTTTGAAGCGGAAATTTTTTCTCTCTAAATTCTAATTCTCTTAGAATTCTTTAATGCCTAAAGGAGGTTAGGCGGTGTATGAGGTGAATTTGAGAGTGAATTTCTGTGGTTCCCGGTAGCTTAGTCGGTAAGAGTGCCCGGCGCGTATCTGGGAGACCCGGGTTCGATTCCCGGCTGGGTGAAGCGGAAATTTTTTCTCTCTAAATTCTAATTCTCTTAGAATTTTTTTTTTTTTCACGAAAAACTGGTCAATAGACAAAATCGACTTAAATCGTTTTACCACTTCGCTACAGATTTGATCTCTGGGAAATTACGGAAAATTCAGTTTGCGGGAGAAAATAGTGCTGTTGATTAATTTTTAATTGGACGAGGGTTTCAAATTGAAGTTTAATTTTGTATTTTCAAAAATTTGTGACGAAATTAAAACTCAGAAATTTGATTTAAATAAGCAAACAAAAACTCAGAAATCAAATGAATCATCGCTCGCCAACATCAATAGAAAGTCTCTGAAAAATATCGCCCAGAAATATCGTGTAGCATGACCATGCGGTATCACCATGATATACGTGACAATCTCGTACTAACAATAATCAATAATTAGCATCGTCATCTCGCAACACACGTGACTACTTCTCGAAATCCCTCGCCCCATTAACAACCCATAACTCCCATAAAAAACCGTGAAAATCTCAAAACAAAATGCCAATAATCACCATAATTGCAACACCATCGAGAATGCAGGAAAACGAAAGGATGACGTGACCATCATTAAAAACCCGAGGAAACATCCGATCTGCGAAGCCATAATCATCTCCGTTTTGCCTCATTACTTCCCAAGAAATTCATCAACTCTCGCTTCCCCTGAAAAATACGATAATTCATCCGGAAGTCGTCCAACGATTTATCGATTTTCAAAGCCCCAAATAACAGAGTGT